GACAATTTCCAACATATTTACATCTTCGCTTAAATGGGGGACCAATATTATACATGGTATTCAAAAGGAATCTAAAACAGCATTCGTAGTGAGTCTGAGCCAACCGTCTCTCACCAGGGTGTATGACTTTCCCCTGGGTGTACAGGGCTCAGTACAGGGCCAATTCCACCACCACCGCCCTCCCTTGGGGTATGAGGCTCAGTTTAGGATTGGCCCAGTATCCTTCGTGTTCTAGTAAGAATCCATCCCCTCTGTCTTTAAAATATTCAGTGACCCCCACCTCCACCATCTTCTAAGGTAGAAAATTGCCAACTGTCTCAACTGTCTGAGGCAGGGGGAGGAAATTGTCATCTCTGTCCTGAAAGGGTGACCCCCTATTTCTGGACTCCTCCATAAGAGGAAACATCCTTTCCACATCCACCTTGTTGGCACTGTTCAGGACCTTATTCACTTCAACCAAGTCACCCCTCACTCTTCTAAACTCAAGTGGAAACCAGCCCAGTCTGTCTAACGTTTCCTCATCAGACAAGCCATTCATTCCAGTTTTAAATCAAATAAACTTCCTGTGAACTGTCTCTAATGTGTTTTATGTCCTCCTTTTTAAATAGGGACACCCAAAACAGCATTCAGATTGCAAGATGTGGTCTCACCCTTGCCCAGTATAACTGAAGCATAATATTTTTGCTTTTATTTGAATTCCTTTCATAATAAATGATAGCAGTCTATTGGCTGCCTTAATCACTTGCTGTACCTACATACATTGGAACAGCTGTGGTTTTAGTTTCCTGACCTTAATCCTCTGGAGGAAGGAGCGTGCTAAGGACTGAAGCCAACTTAATTCTGAATTAGAAATAACAGTGTCAATGTTTACTGTGCAGTGTTTGATTTGGAAATGTTTTTCATTTTGAATATGAGTGGTCACCATTTAATTTCCTAAGCATTTACCTCCAAAGTTGCATGACTGCGTCACAGGAGTGAAACTGGTTAGTGATGTTTGGCTAACAACTTTTTTTATGGTTTGATTGATCTTTCTAAAGTAGTACCTTCATTGTACTTTATTTTCTTATAGAGTTGACTGTGCAGGAGCGGTATTTGCTTCACCAGGAGACCTTGCCAATGGAACTGATAACTAAGAAACAACTCAACGTAGACACCATGCCTGTATTAAATGCTTTACAGCTGATCCATGTAAGTACAGTGGGCATCTTAGGCATAAGCCTCTTCATAATTTATTCAAGTGTCCAAAATTAACAGAGTAGCATGTCAGGAGGAATTACAGAAAAGACACTGAAATCATTAAAGAATGTACAGTCTAGGTTTACTAGGCTAGGAATTAGTTATGAGGAACCATATACTTCATGGGATTGTTTCCACTGGAACAGAGAAACACAAGAAATTTCATCAAGATTTTAACTATTCAAAGAACAAGGACACTGCTATTCAGACACTGGGAGTGATTGATTGTTGGTGATAAAAGACTAAATGTGTAATGTACAGGTAATTTAATTTGGGTGACATTGGATTATGCTGTTCATTCAGAAAAAAATGATAACTTGTTTAAAATTTCCCAAGGCTCCTTACAGCCAATTAAGTACCTGTGAAGTACCTAATGTACATACCTAATTTGTACAGAGCAAGAGCCTACAGAGTAGCTGAGCTAACTGACCAGAAGAATTGGTTTTACGTGTTGGTGGTTATGGGCACAGTTGCCAGGCATCCAGAAATCCGTACAAAGGAAATTATTTTTGTACAGACTGAGCAGAGTTTAGTGTTTATAACCAATGTTCCTTCACACCATCTGCTTGCATTGTTGAATGGGGATTGTTGCTGATTTGACTGCAAATGAGGCAAGTTTGACTGCCCTAACATTAAGCAGCGTTCGACCAAGTGTGGCATCAAGGAGCCCATGGAGTCAATGGGAATGAATTGGGGGAGAAAATGTTCTGCTGGGTGGTGATGTACCTGGTGACTGACAGAGTCATCGAGATCTGCAGCACAGAAAAGGGCCCGATGGCCCATCGAGTCTGTGCTGGACAGAAACAACCACTGACTATTCTAATCCGACTTTCCTGCACTGCCCACAGCCTCGTATGCCTTGGCATTGCAAGTGCATGTCTAAATACTACTTAAACGTTCCAAGGGTTTCTGCCTCTTGTCACTCTGAAAGGCAGTGAGTTTCAGATTCTTGTCACCTCATGGGTGAAAATATTTTTCCTCACATCCCCCGCTAAACCTCCTACTCTTTATCTTAAATTCATGACCCCTGGTTACTGATCCTTCCATCAAGGGGATAAATAGATACAGGGAAGATAGCTGTGATTGTTAGAGGTCAATTATCTCAGCTCCAGCACATCTCTGCAGGAGTTCCTCAGGGTGGTGTCCATGACCCAACCATCTTCAGTTGCTTCATTAGTGACCTTTCCCTCTAACATAAGATCAGAAGTGGGGATGTTTGCCGATGGTCCTGAACTTAATGCAATCATTTGTGACTCCTCAGACTTTGAAGCAGCCTGTGTCTGTGCAGCAAGATATGAGCAACATTTGGGCTTAGGCTGATAAATAACAAGTACCATTTGTGCCACCCAAGGGTCAGGCAATGAACAGCTCCAACGAGAGAGAATCTAACCATCGTCCCTTGACTTTCAATGGCAATGCTGTTGCTGAATTCCCCCACTATCAACATCCTGGGATTACCATTGACCAGAATAGTCATATAAGTATAGTGATTACAAGAGCAAGTAAGAGGCAAGGAATCCTGCTGTGAGTAACTCGCCCTGACTCCCCAAACCCTGTCCACCATCTACAAGGCACAAGTCAGGAGTGTGATGGAATACTCCCCGGTTGTCTGGATGAGTACAGCCCCAACAGCACTGAAGAAGCTTGACACATCCAGGACAAGGCAGCCTGCTTGATTAGCATTACACCCACAAGCATCCATTCTCTCCACCACTCACACTCAGTACACATTGCTGCTACTATCTGCAAGATGCACTGCAGAAATTCACCAAAGATCCTTAGACTGCACCTTCCAAATCCATAACCACTTCTATCTAAAAGGACAAGGGCAGCAGATACATTAGAATACCATCTACAAGCTACCTTCCAAGCCACTCACCATCGTGACTTGGAAGTACAGTACCGTTCATTCAGTGTACCTGGATCAAAGTCTTGGAATTCCCTCCCTGACAGAACTGGGTACCCCAACACCAAATGGACTGCAGCAAATCAAGAAGGTTCTGCTCACCACCATCTTCTCAAAGGCAGTTTGGGATGAGCTATAAACTGTTGACCAAGCCAATGATTCCTACATCGTATGCTTGTACATATTCTTAAGTTCTGATCAATCGTTGGTAATCAAACTAATATCCATTTTCTGCAGCTTTACATCAGTGATGACAACATAAAAGCAAATGAGTATGATTTCAAGAAGGCACTTGATCTCCTGGAATTTGTTGAAAAGGTACTGGTGTCAGCTCACGGAGCGAACAGTAACATCACAAATGATGTAACTTGAGAAGTATAATGAATGTCATTGGTCTTTGTTGTTGTTGTTCTGTCTGCTCCATGTTGTAGGATGTGACCTGATAATTGCCCTTCCCAAAATGATTCATTTTGTAATGTTAGTTATAAGCGTGTTTTTTTTTTCCCTTCCTGAAATGCCCAACTGATTTTCAACCTGAAATATTCTAGCTGTAAAGTTTCTGCCATTCTATATTAATACATAGGGTCCTGTTTATCACTGCAGCAAGGACATGAACACAGTGCCCCGCTCCAACTGAACAAAATAGCTGACAGCCGTTCACTGGATTATTTCCCAGGGCGCAATGCCCTGGCAATCGTACTCAAACTGTCTGGTTTAACATTTAAACCAAGCGTGGCAACTGTTAATCAGCATGACCTGGTGTATTAGCCATGGCATCAACCCTGTCGATCAATCAGCACTTCCTCTCTCGGTATAAATGTTGATTTTTTTTTTTCTTCCCCTTTGAATTGATATTCTAGAGAATTGTCCTGAGGAGTGTAAGACAATGTTTTGACAAGATGTTTTTGTTTTTTTTTGCAATATTCAAATTCTGTAATACCAAGCAACTATTTTGTTGTTGCTAATAGCTGATTTTTTATCTTTGCTATGACACATCAAATGTTTTGTTACCTAGGGTAAAAAAAGACATCAGAACCATTTATTTACTGGAATACTGTCTCTGCCCCTCTCTTCCTCTCTGTCCCAAATAACACAAACTACATAAAGGTGAGCAACAGGAAATCTTGCAGCCAGTTGACGAAACCTCAGCTAAAATCCAAGTGCAATTTAGTTTATAGAAACGCGTGCAATTTGATTGTAACAAAACCAAAATTCTCATTCAAGTTAGTTTGCCCTTGCTGTTGGCAATTAGTGTTTGGATCAGGCAAGACCTATGTCCCTCTGCTATGAAGGTGATCACCAACTGGACCTCTGTGTAGAATTCCTGTGCAGTATCTGGGAGGCAGAGGCTGTACCTGGGGAAATGCAACATTCCCTGTATTTTGGGAGAAATTTATTTGGGATTTTTTGAAGTATTGCTTCTTAAGGAACTAAGATATCCTGTATAGATGGACGCTAGCAGCTGTTTACCTTGTCCTATAAGCCATCTCATTGTAGAGCATTGCGTTGAAGACTTTCCTCACAGCTCATAAATAGTCGTAATGTTTCATAGTCTACCTTTCTTCCTATTTCCCCGTCAGTTTGTGTCTCCATTTCCCCCTCTGTTTGTCTTTTCCTGTTTAGTCAGTTATGTTTAGTGTTCGTGTGAGGCGGTCAGTCCTGAGCCAAGTCCTGGTAGCGTCAATGAAACTGTCCTGACTGACCAATTCTCACATTGAACTTTCTCTGAATTTGCTCAGTCAGTTCCAGGTTACCTTTCTTTTGACTTTTTAATCTCAAGGGTAATTTTATGGGAATATTTAAAATTGATTCACCTTGATAGAAAGAGATCGATTTATAGTAAATCACAGCATTAGAATAAGGGACAACAATATAACCTTTAAATGTGAGAGACCTGAGAAACTGAGCAGGAGAGTTTTATTTGCATGGAGGTTGAGAAGCAATGAAATACAGGAATATTTTGTAGTTGAGACGGAAACAAAAGAGGTGTGGGAACAGGACAGGCATGTGGGGTGAGAATACTGTATGTGTGGTGGAGCACATCCTGCTGAGGCTTTCTCTTGTTACTTGCCGGGACAGGTCTACATCAGCTCTTGTTGAATTATTTTGGAAGTTGAGTGTGTTTTCTGTCTGTTTGCTTTCTGAAGGAGGAGGGTCTTGATGCTAATATCAACATTGAGTCATTAAAACTGGAAATCTTCTGCCGAGCTATTCAGAGAAACGAGTAAGTATAGTTTGGCTTCTTTATCCTCACCACAATGTATGCATTAAAAGGAGCAGTTATCTATTCATAAAGATAGTAATGTTGTCTGTATTGCATTCTAAAGCAATTTGGCCACCTCCCTCCCCTCGCCAAATCCTTGTTTTCTATCTCCCGTTCCATGGTGAAACGCACTAGAAATACAGCCCACAATGTTCTTAGCCCTGGTGATGAGTTGCAAGCTGTAAGTGTAATTTTTTAAATATTTATTTGTAAATTTAGTTTTCATGAACAAACCTTTTGGTTGCAATCATTCTATATGACGATGAAATGGCTAATAACTCCCGTGCTGGCTGTTGTTCTGGGTTGGCTTTCCCTTTTCCCCAGTCAGTGCCAACCCTGGGTAATTCTTCAAATCCTAATTGACAAAGACGCACCAGAGAATGTTTTGCTTGTCTTTTCTTTTCCTCAGTTGGTCTTTTGATGCAAAGGATGACCCCATTGAAGCTGCAAAGGAAACTGTACTGATAAAGGTCATAAAAAAGTTGGTGGATGAAGGTGAGTGTTGCATTCAACTGCTTCTCAAAACAGCTTGATATTAAATACTGAATCAAAACAGTAATTGTGCTAACTTTCTCTGTTTCGTCTGTGTTCCTTACCTGAATAAAGTGTTTTATTGTGATATCAGTACATGGATACATACCCACATTTTTAATTCATCTATACGATGTGAGATGTTTTTGTTTAGTGACAGGGCTGTGCCAGCTGGATTGTGTGCTCTAGTGTCTGTAATTGGGTTCATATTGCAGCCTTTGGGTATTGTAACACTCCCTGAAATAGCCAGGTCCTGAATGGCTGTAATATCCTTCCTCCAACCCAATAACTACATCAAGTGTGTATTGATTACTATTTTCAAATACCTTTCATTTTTAGGAGTTCAGCTGAAATATTATTTGCCAGAAGTGAAGGACTTGCTGAAGTCAGATTATCTGTTAACCCTGAGATCCAATTCCTACTTCGAATTCCTTTTACAAGCAATCTATGAACATTATTTAAAACTACAGTCCTGATTGCCTTGATGTGTCATCTCCATATTCTGCTGTATTTTTAAGATTCTTCACTCCGCTCAGGAGCTGCAGATAAGCAACCTGCAATGTTTTTAAACTTTTGTATAAAATAAATGAATTAATTTGTGCTTCTAATAGAAGTCCTTTAATTTTACAAAGGTCACAAACTTGCTGTTTCCAATCTGAATGGTGGTTTGTTTGATATAGGATTAGATGAGGGCACCTTGGTCTGACCAGGGCAAAGTATTTAGTAGCCAAGTCTCTGTGACCAAAAAGAAACTGGTTCTTTCTCCTCATAATGCTCCCCTCAAATGGGGATATTTGTAAAAGGAAACCCGTGCTAAGTACTGTTACTATTGGTAATAAAGAACTCTAAAATCTGAAGGCATTTTGAAAATATATTACACGCAATAACCAGGGAGAGAATAAGGCCCTGGAAGGATTAAAGTTGCAAAGTGTGTGGAGCCAGAAGATATGCACGAGCCTTTAAACGATTAGTTTGTATCTCCCTACAATGAATACAGGTGCAGTGTAGGCATAGAAATCTGGGAAGGGGCCTGTTAGATACAGAACAAATTACAATTGAGGGAGCAGATATTAGCCATTTCATCAGGTTTAAGATTTAATAAATCCCCAGGCTCAGATGAGATGTATGCTCTGGGAGGTAGTTGCAAGGGCTCTGACTTTAATCATGAAATCCTCTCTTGACAGGAGAGATGCCAGAGAGGACTGGGGCACAGCTGATATTGTATCACTATTACAGATGAATATTAGGGATATTATGTCTATATTGGTGTACCATGCTGGAAATTGAGCCTCACTATTCCTAGAAAATGTAAAATGTCATCCAAGTATGTGAAGTCCCCAATTTACAGACCCAGATTAACTGAAAACACAGATCAGGTTTCTGTGTAAACAGTTATTATTTATTACTAAGTTTTTTAACTGTGGTTAAAATCGTAACTGTACCAGTTAAAACTCTAATTAGCTTTTAAAATCCCCTGCACACGGACAGACCAAAAAAAAATGGTGTTATGGGCAGAAGGAAACTGGGAAAGCAATTTGAGGCCCCAGTCCACAGGGTTAGCAGAGATGACCCTTTATATTGCCAGGATTTTCTGTTCTTCAGTCTCTCTTCTCCAGGTTCTTGTCACTTTACAGGAGGCACAGGCAGTTGGTGCATTAACTGCTAATTCTCTTAATTACTGGTAAAAGACCACAGTTTTCGGCAACTGAGGGAAAAACAGGCTTTCTTCAGGCATTTTACTGGAGAGAAAGACATACCTTCTGCCAGTATTGTTCACACCCACAAGTGATGGTGGATGTGCCCAGAACCAGGGGTCACAGTTGGAGGATTTGGGGTAGACCATTTAGGACGGAGATGAGGAGACATTTCTTCACCCAAAGAGTGGTGAACCTGTGGAATTCATTACCACAGGAAGTAGTTGATGCCAAAACATTGAACGTATTCAAGAGGCAGCCAGATATAGTACCTGGGGCGAATGGGATCAAAGGTTATGGGGAGAAAGCAGGATTAGGCTATTGAGTTGGACAATCAGCCAGGATCATGAAGAATGGCAGAGCAGGCTCGAAGGGCCTCCTCCTGCTCCTATCTTCTATGTTAGGCTCCTGGCGAGCTGAAAAGCTTATCGGATAGTTGTTGTCAGGCTAATAGTCTTTATCATCCACAGCTAGTCACAACTTCATAACCCAATCAGCTGTCTGTTCCTGGCCAATGAGTCTAACATCAGTGATGGGAGAAACTTCGATAAAATTCTGAGGGACAGCATTAATTTCCACTTGGAAAGACAAGGTTTAATTAAGGATAGTCAGCATGACTTTGTCGGGACATAATGTTTCTATGAATTTTTGCAAGGAGATGAATAGGTATGTAGATGAGGGTAATACACTTAATGTATTCTGTATGGACTTCAGAAAGCTTTTGACAAAGTCTCGCAAGAGAGTCTGGTCAAGAAGGTAGGAGCCTGAGAGATTCAGGGCAATTTGACAAATTGCTTCCTGCCACTAAGTCCATATATGGATCCAGAAGTATTTTTGTGACTGCAAGACGACATGAAAATTGGAGGTAAAAAGCAACAAGGCTTAGACTAATGACAGAGATACAGTGGTTAGGTGGGCAGAACAGTGATAAATGATATTTAATCCTGAAATGTGAGAGGTATTGTATTTTGGGCGGCCTAACACATTGAGTGGCACTGCTGCCTCACAGCACCAGGGACCCAGGTTCAATTCCATCCCTGGGTGACTGTCCGTGTGGAGTTTGCACATTCTCCCCTTGTCTTCGTGGGTTTCTACTGGGTGCTCTGGTTTCCTCCCACAGTGCAAAGATGTGCAGTTACTGGATTAGCCATGTTTAAAAATTGCCCCATAGTGTCCAGGGATGTACAAGTTTGGTGGGTTGACCATGTAGGGTTATGGTGATGGGGTGGGTCTGGGTGAGATGCTGTTTGCAGGGCCAGTACAGATACAATCAGCTGAGTCACCTCTGCATACTGCAGCAATTCTATGATTCTAACAAGTGAGTATACAATGAATGGCAGGACTCCAGGATGCACAGAGAGAACCTTTGTGTTCATATCCATAGATCCTTGAAGGCAATAGGACAGGTAGATAAGGTGGTTAAAAAGGAATATGGGATACTTGCTTTAATTAGTTGAGGCAGTGAACACAGGAGCAGAGGTCATGACAGAACTCATTCTGAGAATTTTTAAGAAATACCAGGGAAATGTTTAGTTTGATACAACTTGTGAATTGTCTTGACAAGGGCAAAACAAAAAGCTTTGACAAAATGTCTTTTTTCAGTAATTGCCCTTTCTATTTCTCAACAATGTTGTCTGATCTTTTGCTCAGCACATTCACAAGAATCAGCTTCCCCCAACTACCTGCAGTCCAGTGGCTGTTACGTGGTAGTTGAAGCTGACACAGGTTCATTTGTGCCATTTAAAATGTAATATTCCTAAATCATAGACAACAGTGGGGAAATAAAATTACTCATTTATTGGTCTGTACAGTATCTTACATGCTGAAAAAAAACTGTATCTTAATCAAAATAGAAGCTTGTACAAGCCGATAGTAAAGATGTGGTGAATAATTACAGATGTCCTGCAGAAAAATCTTGTTTCCAGATGAATTCTGCACTGTATTCGTTGCCGTGGTCACAGTTTTGTTCACAGGTAAAAACGACAAGTGTTCCCCAGTCCAAACTCTCTCCCAGGCTGTCCACTTTCAGATGGTTCAGCAGCTGCGGCATCACCTTAAACAAGTTGTGAAAATTTAGTTGCTAATGTTCACTGTTCACACGTTGCCATGTAAATGCTATAAACTTAGCCCCATCTCCGCGTACAATGATATGTTAGCCTTTATCAGTAGGGGATCTGCTGTAGATGCAGTTACACCTTGGGGACTGCGGTTTTAGTCTCCTTACCCAACAACAAATGGATGAGCTTGCCTTAGAATAATAACAACTGATTCCTAAGATAAGCTGAGGTCAGATTCAACAAAATGGGGTGAGTTTGGAAGAATAAGAGGTGATCTCAGTGAAATGTATACAATTCTCGGCTAATCTGTTAATCTCGGGTCCTGAGCGTACAATTTTGAGGTGTGTAAAATCACCATCTTACAAAACTACCAATCACCACGTAGTCAGTTATCCAACATCACTTGGGCACTAAACTCATTATGATGTACGACAGTCAAACTTCTAAGCTTTTTAGGATCACTGGACAGAACTGTGCACAAGTTAAAACAGAATAATTCATACCTGAAATTCAAATTCACGTTTGGCCCCACATGCACAGCTAGGGATATCTGCATCAGAAGGAACATTGTCCTCAGACACCCACAGTGGGCTTCCTCCTCTGCAGTAACGCAACACCTACAACAAGGAACAATAAAGATTTGCATTCTGTGCTTTCAAAAGTTCCACCCTGATCTTTCAGGTGAAATCAAATTCACTACCATTTCTAAACATTTATTCAGAGTAAGATTAATAAGGAAAATACTTGCATCTCACTCAAAAAGGATCATGACATTCAAACTCACTTATCTCGAAGTATTCTACTTCCTGAATCAGCACCAAATGGTGACTGTTGTTTAGGGCTCTTTCTTTCAAATAACCACTGTAGGCATGATGGGCTGAATTGTTTTTTTTTGTGCAAAATTATTTCTATTGAAATTCCTCCACTTTGATACTCCCAAAAAAAAGTAGCAAATGAAAGGCAAGAATGTAGCTGGGATGTGACTGATCTCCTCATAAAATGAGCTGAACCCCTATAGTGTCAAGTATGCAGTGCACACTTGGTAAATGATAAAGCTGCCATGTGCTTCAGATGTGCGTAACAGAGATCACCGTTCTGTTTTGTGACAAAACTCAAGAGGAAAGAATACAGTACACGACATACGTACCTGATCAGGAGCAAGTGCTATCCTCCTCTTAAACTTAGCAAAGATGCGGTCTTCCTTTGACTCATGTTTTGCCATGGCCTCCAGCTCCCCTTGGTCAATGCCCTCACTCAGACAATCTGAGAATAGCAGAGACATGAATGTTACTCATCAATCCTCGATTCTACTTCCCCAGTGAAGTGTTTGGGGACATTGCTATTCAAAGACTGAAACATAACTTAAAACAAGTGAAAATACTCTCCGGCTGAACAATTACTGTATCGTCCAGAACTTGGATATAAACTTTAGAATGAGTGCACAGGTTTTGGAGAAATTTCATAATTCTTTATTTATCTGTCCCCTTCCTGAATCTTTCAGGTATAAAACAGGTTAAGATATTTTATTCGTCATTACATATTAAATGAGTTAGAATTTGAAACATAACTTGTATCAAGCAACAACAAGCTATAAATGTTATACTGTATGCTAATACAATGGCTGTTCAACTCTGGTGATGGCTATCAGTAACTAGTCATTTAGTGTTGGAAATTAGACTAAAACAATAAAAGTTACCAACACAAACCAGTTCTGATCTTTTCCTTGGTTTTCTAGTTTAAAGCCACATTTGATTTTAAATGCTTTGCCTGAGATTTTTTAACTATTTGAACACAATTATAATTTGGCAGAAGAATCACTTTTTCCAAAATAGAGTACAGGTGATTATTAAAGTAATT